GAACCTATATATATATATATATATATATATATATATATATATATATGAGCCGGTTTAGGTGAGAATGCACCTTGGTGAAAGAAATAAGAATGAAATCTAGCCTTTGGATCGGATGCATCGTGTGGCTCAGATTGCATCCTGCACTCAGATTTTGAGATAGTGCATTTTCAAAGGATTTTGGTGCATTTCGACATGACGCATTTTCAAACCATTTTGGTGCACCTAATTTGGATGCAATCTTGACCCTTAGATCTCACAATCTAAAGCACTAGATTCATTCTTATTTCTTTCATAAGATCGCATTCTCACCTGAACCAATATATATATATATATATATATATATATATATATATATATATATATATATATCTATGTGTGTGTGTGGAAGAGGATGCCCCCCTATAAAGATTTAATGTGGAAACCTACCCGGGTACGAGAGTAGGGGGACTACGATGTTGGGCAACCAGAATCGTAACGAAGAACATACCCATTGGGGAGGTTGCGCCACTTGCGACGTGCCTTGTTCGGGGCAACTTTGGACACGGTCAACGGAATCCCCATGACGTAATCAGTGGGGAGGCGAAAATAACTGGCCTCCCACAAATGGTTCTCTTATTCCTCCAAGGTTTCCTCTTTTGGGTCAAAAGGGCCCGGTGCTTAGTTAAAGGGTTCTAGATAAGGCGGGGTTGTGAAAACCTAAAACCACAAACCAAACTAAAACTTATCAAAACGAGATAGAAAAAAAACCGAACTGAAAAAACCAAAACCGAATGTAAAAAATTGAACTAAACCATTATTGTGTGGTTTTCGTTTTGGTTTTCACTTCAAAAAAATGATCCGAATAAACTGAATGTTCTTAGGTACTTTGCTTTATTTATATGAGTATATGTGATTTGAAAAAAATCATAAAAATATATATGCAAATAATTGATTAATCGATGAAATTTATTTTTCTTAACTATTAAACATTTTAAACCATATTATAAACTTTAAAAAAACCTAGTAATATAAACATCAATAACTAATCCCAATAAGAATTATATTAACATTAACAATCGAACGAGTAATTTATATATCTACATGAAAAAGCTTTGATGCTATAATAGAAATTAAAGTATTATACCAAAAGCGCAAAATATCCGTAATTAATATTTACATACGAAAGCTTTGGGAGTATTTGGAAGCTCTTAGATGTTTATTGGCACTCGATACAGTTTTTTATGTAAAATTGAAGCGAACTCTAATCTAACCTTCTATTCGGTTTTCGGTTTTATGTAAACATCAAATAGAAAAACCAAACCTAACCCTACATATTGTTATTGCTTCATCGAATTATTAGTGTTTTTACAACTTTTAATGCTTATAAATTTTATTTTCAAAAACTGAAAAAACTGAAAGATTTTAGGTGAAACCAAACCGCTAAAACCGAACCCACCCCTAGTTCCGGATTGGGAATTGACACACCTCCCTATACGGTGTGTGACTGAGAAGGGGAAGGGGAAATGTTAGTGGAAGATGGGGAGACCGACTCATTCGATCCACACGAATGGATCAACGGATTCTGGCTGCTACTTGAAGACATGGTTGGGAGAGAAATAACAAAAAACAAAAGAAAAGACTCGGAGGACTTACTTATGGCGGCGGAAAAACGCTCGAAGGACTCAAGGCAAGAAAGATATCCAAGCGATTCTCTGGATGAGAAATGCGAGAAGTGAAAGAAATAAGAGGGTAAAGGCCTTTATATAGGGGAATGGGTGTCGGTTCACGCGCCAGGCTGCTCATCCCATCAAACTGTAAGGTGACATGTGGTGAAGGTAAATGATTACCTGACGAGAAGCATGACAGGCGCCTTGGGAAGACCAAGTGATGAGAAAGCGGCATGCGAGCGCCGAATTTCAAATATCTCAGGTTTAAATATTTGAAAAAACGTCTGGATTTGAGAATTGCTTCCCGCTCTTGATGATTCCCACGAGGCCGAGAAGTGGAGGACTTATTGATGGGTTTATTCCACCCACACTCAGACCTGGGATGGGTCGGGTCCACCTGGGACCAACCGGGTAGGTCCCAAGCAGTATGTAACTGGATTGTTTGGGTGAATTTGAACATTGCCCGGGTCAGGTCCAGTCAAACTACCCGGGTGACTTTTGGGCAACAGTCAAGTGGCACGACACTGAAGAGGGGATCCTCAAATGATCAGGAAGTCTCTTTGCAAGACCACCCGGGTGGATTTCTATGACTTACGCTGACATGATAGCAGCCCAGCAGGTTTGGACAGAAGAAGCGGCTTGGAGGGGACTTGGTCGGAGCAGGTTCCCTGCGACAACGGGCTAGGTGTATCATCCCAAGCACTACGCGCCAATATGGACAATTACAAAGGGAAAACTCCAAGAAAGATGGGAGAAACACTAAAAGATAAAGAGGCATCAGATCATGTGCTTTGTCATGTGGCAAGCACGTTGCCAGGCGTGGGTACAGTTCAACCTGTACGCTAGCTTTACTATGAATAGGCCTTGTGCCCCTCATTGAAGGGGGTGTGAATTCCCTCTCTCTAAAAGTGTATTATGTTATACACTTTTAATAAATCCCTGTACTCTTTCCACAATAAATTATATACTCTTCCCATAATAAAAGTGTATTGTGTATTGATGGAAAATAATATGTGGCTCGTCCCACATTTCCCAATTATTTACGAATAATAATCAAATCGGGCCTGTTTCATAAAATGAAGGAATAAGAGAATATTCCTCCGAAGATGCTCCTCCTCCCTCCAATAAAAAGAGAGGTTTTCCACCAAGAAGAGGAGGCCAATTTTGATACCCTCTCCCTGCCCACTTTTCTCTCTCTCTCTCTCTACAAAGTTCTTAGAGTATATATTTTTCTTCATCTTCAAGAGCTTCTAGCTCCACCATTAATGGCTTCTACGCCTAAATTATGTACCGTGTACAACCCCGATATCAATAAAAATCCCCTGTTGGCAAGATACTACTGAAAAAGGCCCGTGGTTTTCTCCTGATTTGGGTTTCCACGTCAAAATCCCTGTGTTTATATTTTGGTGTATTTTTTAGACTAGTTTATCGTTTTTGCCCGGCTAAAAGCGATATACCAGTCGATAATTTACACCATCATTTTGGCGCCGACCGTGGGACCCGAACGAAAAGTTGTGTTTTTTGTTCGGCCATTATTTTCTCTTACCACACAAAAGTGGGAAAAAAAGGAAAAAAAGAGGGAGAGCCATCTGTTCAAAATCGGCCGATGGAGTGCATCTATTCACGTCGCCTTTGACCTCAACTGGAATTACACTGCAAAAAATCAGCAATCGCGGCAGCAGAAGAAACATGCGCCATTGGAGATCAACCTCCAAGGCGTATTATTTTCCATTAATGGCTGGCAAAGTGCCCACGCCACATTCTGCCGCGGAGGTGACGCCACGAGGACGATGGGTGGAGCTTGCGGCTACGGGAACCTGCACAACACGGGGCACGAGACGGACACAATCGCCCTCAGCTTTGCCGTCTTCAACAGTCTCCGGAAAGTCGTGTTTCCCTGGTACAACCCACCCTGACGGTGATGAACTTCTGCCTGCCGAACCCCGGGCTGCGCAACAACGGCAGTAGGTGGTGCAATCCTCTGCTGCGATCCATTGCAGCCCCCTTAACTCGGGATTTGGATGCCATTATCCCTTCTTGCTCTAGATCTGTCCACCAGAGTCAAAACTTTTGACCATTGGGCGTTGTAGCTGTTATAGTCTTCTCTCGCCGTTTCTAAAGTCTTCCATCACCGTCGCCACTCGCCACCCCTTGAAATTGTCGTCATTGACGGAAATCATGGAGGACTGATGACCACAAAGATTGCAATCCACTGATCGTATTCCGCTCTGCAGCCACACAGATCTCTGAGGCCCTTCTCGTAGCGCCCCCTTGCTGGCCATTCGATCGTAAAACATTTGAGGGCCAAATTATTCAGTGTGGTTCTCGTCGCAAATGGCCATCTACGGCCTCGGAAGCTCCGCTTCTCAGACTCACTGCCGCCGCTGCTCAGACCCGCCGCCGCCGCTGCTCAGACTCGGCGTCGCTGCTCCGACTCGCTGCCGCCGCTGTTCAGATCTGGTGCTAACCACTACGTGAACTTCCGCTGCCACCACTTTCATGACCGCCGTTTGGAGCTAGCGTAAATTCCTCCCACTACTGTTTGCCTCTTCGAAGAACAAAGCCATTATAACCGCCCTTCAGAGGTTGTGGTTGTAACGCCCCGAATTTAGGCCTAAAAGAAATAATTAATTTAAATATTAATTAACGCCTGAGACAGACCCAAACACTGAAAAATAAAAGTTTTCAGAAAAATATTTTAATTATATCAAAATTTTAGTTTTGACAGTCTGATTCCAAATATGCGATCCGTTTTCAATTCGGAACAGTTTGGGCGAAAAAGCGCGTACCGTTTTAGTCAGTTTATCAGTTACGGAGTAGGAGAATATTTTAATTCCCCAAATCTTCCAATCACGTAACCATATCTTCCCAAATCCCTTCAACTTCCTTTTGGCCACCCTAGGAACATGCTAGGAAACCCACTACCTCAACAATGCAATCTTCAATATAATACTCCAAAAACTCCCTTCCATTTTACAAATTCCCATTTCACTTCACAAATATCCACTCTCTCTTCTCACTCTCTCTCTGTCGGCAGTCCAGGAAGGGGGAAGAACCAACTTCATTCATCTCCATTATTGTGCCAAAGAAGAAGGAGCAAGAAGAAGCATCAAGGTTTCCGAAATCCTGAGTCCAAAACGCAGCAGCAACTTCATCGTCAATTCTGTAATTTTCTATCCTTTTTCTCGAAATATTTATTATACCAAAATCGTAGCCCCGGACGTTACGAGTCAACCCAACAAACGGTTCGTGATTTCGTTAAGTAACGAAGGAGATATGGCCAAAATACCGGGACTGCGCCAGTGGTGGCGAGCTCCTCGGGTTGGTTATGTTTCTTCATCATTTTCACATCGTTTCTTTCTAAATGCTTACCGTCAACTCTCTCGTGGTTATTAGGAACTTCCGGAGGTTATTTCCAAGAAGATTGGGCGTTAGAAGCTTGAAGTTGATAGGGGTGACCATACGTTGAACGTTTGTTGAGCCGTATTATTTTCTTTCAATCATTCCGACCTCTACGATATCAAGGCGAGTACATTGCACCCTAGTAACGCAATCCTTGGTTGAATATCAATATAGATATATCGTTAGGATTGATTGCCATATTAGTCATCTATGTTTTAAGATCAAATTCATCCAACTCACAAAGTTAAAAATATGTTTTTCTTGATACTCTCCCATACATGAAGATATAAGTGTTAGGAATATTTTAAATACATAGATATGTTAATCATAGGTGTTAAAATGACTTAAAGAAGTATTTTAGACATTCAAAAATATCAAAATTTAGATTTGCAGACCCGAATGGTCGACATAAACGGTCAACCGTCGCGTTAAACATCGAAACGGACCACGACTGTCAGACAAACGGTCGACCGCCGGTGGCAAACGGTCGACCGCCGCCTGTCCAGCCGAGGGCCGCCCTTCCCATCCAGTCAAAAACGGTCGACCGTCACGGTGTCCCGGTAATCCGACGGAATGAAGAACAAGGTCGACCGTCGTGCCAAACGGTCGACCGTTCTGAGCCCCGTAGCTTATTTAAATGATATTTTTATCATGTTTCACCCAAATAAATTAATGTATGATTACATATTCATATTTTTTACAAATTGTTCATATCATATGATTCATATCATCATACATATTGTAGCATATCACATCATATGCATGCGTAAGAGATCATGCCTCGTGCGTCTCTTATAGCGTGATTGTGCGGGACTTACTAGTCCGACATCACAGTTTCTGGCTTAGTGTACGTACATGGTATTCAGGCTTTCGAGTACCACCCCTATTTTTCTAGTCTCCCTAGGGAGACTAAGGTGGCATGAGTTCGTCGTACCAAATGGGCGAATCTCATAGTGCAAGGGTCGTCCTTGTTCGTTAGAATCATACATCATGAAATCATCATCAAGTACAATCATCATGACTATGTATGACATCAATTACGTATCATTATCATCATCTTGAACATACATGCTATATTATGCCATATCATGAATAGTTGTATGTCTACTTGCTATTCAACTTGGAATTGTTGTATTAGCGTATTCCTCAGCTGACGCTGAGCGTGTAGTTTGTTTTACTTGCTACACGCAGGTAACAATACTGATCATGGAGCCCCTCCCGGAGGTCAATGAGAGTGATGAGATGTACGGGCTGGTGGACCACAATTACTCTGCTTTATTTTAACAAATACCTTTTCGGGCGAGTCCCCAGAAAATGTAATACGACTTAATTATGTTTTATATTTAAGCTTCCGCACTGTTTCAACATTACTTTGAAATTTAATATTTGAAATTATCATTTATATTAAAGTTTAATTGGTTTTAAATTATTCCTCAAATGATCATGCGTAATTACCATCATGGTAACTACTCCGGCTCAAATAATCTAGGTAATCGGATTATTCGAGTTGGGGTGTTACAGTGGTTCCGCCAAATCTCATCCCGGATTGCTTCCCGCCGTGGCTCTGGCTCCAACAATGTCCTTTGAAGGTGTTGATGCTGATTGACGTGGTACCAGTCCCTCAGTTCCTCACAAAGACAATAGCAGCAAGGTGGATTTCACTCCCCAAAAAAAGTCTAAGTGCAAAAAGTAAAAGAAAAGGAGACAAGTTGAGATGATGCACATGATGGGCTAATGGTATGGGCCCACCATTATTTAATGGGAATGCATCAAAATTTGAACATGTGGTGGAAACTTCGTGGAGTTCACATGGGAATGAGAGAATACACTATTCACTATAAAAGAGAGCTCCCTCTCAAATAATTGCTGGTCTTGTGCAGCTGTCAATTAAAAAAGAAAAGATCTTCCGTATCAAAGATGAGGATCAAAGGCACAATTTTTGCTCCACAAAATTATACAAAGTGGATTTTGGTGGGCTGACCATACATTGGAGTTTCACAAAGTTTTGGAAGACTGAGACACAGGCTCGGACCCGGCACGCTAGTTACTACACCGATCTAGCTCAGTATAAAATAAATAAAAAAACCTGAAGAGGGGCCCCGGATAAGGGGTATGCATGCAAGAGGGCTGGACCTGGAAGAAGGTTCGAACCGTACTTACACGGGCTCATGAGGTTTGACCGGTATCGGGGAAACCATCAAATTGATTGGGGACTAAAAGATGCCCATTAAAAGAAATAGAAAAGGATCGTTCACCGCAATGCATCCTACTTCGACCGGATCGGATTCCCCCTTCTCAGGGAAGACTTGGACGGGAGGGTGAGCTAAGGCCTTCTCGGGATAGTAAATAACAAAGAGCCATTAAAAGAATTAATCACCCGGAAGAGGGGGCCCTGGAAGAAGGGTGCATTTTGGGCCTTGGAGAGGGCTCGAAACCATCTGACATTGTTCATTCTCCAATGTTGATCTGGTCCGGCCACCAGCGTTATTCAAAGAGGAAGACTGAGACACCGGCCTGGCACGCTGGTTACAACACCGGTTTTGCTCAGTATAATAAAGAAAATATGTGACCCAGTCGAACTGGTACACTGGTCTCACACCGGTCTTGCACATATTTTCCAATGAGCCTGAGCCCAATCGAATTGGGTACACCGGTTGTACATCAGTTTTAGCAAAAAAGTGAGCTAAGCTCATATCGGGGACGCCCGATTCATTTTAAGCCCTCTATCTCAGGCACTTTTATCGAAGATGGTTTCCCCGAGACATGAAGATATTTACATCAGTCAGCCCGGCTAACATTGATCTTCAACAAAACTGCCGCATCGTATTCCATTCTTATTAACTAACGCCGTTATCATAAGTATACTAATTTCGTCACGCATCGTTTGCTTGACTCGTATTAACACTAGTCTCGGCAAAATAACTACTTGAAGCACCGCCGCTTCATCGTACTAACTCCGGTGTCATATAACTACTCGAAGCATCGTTGCTTAATCGAACTGACATCGCTCTTGTTACGATGATTATCCGCGCGAAGTTTAATCACTCTAGCACCGAGCTCCTCGGTAAAGATAATAATTTTTTGGGCACGACATAGGCCGGTAAAAAAAAGTGTTGTACATATTATTTTTTGTAGGAAAAACTTCTGATTCAAGAAATTAGAGAATTAATGAAGACTCGGAGGACTAACAATATCAACCGGTCAAGAATGGAAAGTAAAAAGACTGAAGATAGCACTCGGAGGACTTGTTTACTTTTTTAAATTGATGATTCTCACAACTTAAAAAAGTGGAGGACTTCTTGATGGGAAATAATATGTGGCCCGTCCCACATTTCCCAATTATTTACGAATAATAATCAAATCGGTGGCTCGTCCCACATTTCCCAATTATTTACGAATAATAATCAAATCGGGCCTGTTTCATAAAATGAAGGAATAAGAGAATATTCCTCCGAAGATGCTCTTCCTCCCTTCTATAAAAAGAGAGGTTTTCCACCAAGAAGAGGAGGCCAATTTTGATACCCATTTCTCTCTCTCTCTCTCTACAAAGTTTTTAGAGTATATATTTTTCTTCTTCTTCAAGAGCTTCTAGCTCCACCATTAATGGCTTCTACGCCTAAATTATGTACCGTGTACAACTCCGATAACAATAAAAATCCCCCGTTGGCAAGGTACTGCCGAAAAAGGCCCGTGGTTTTCTCCCGATTTGGGTTTCCACGTCAAAATCTCTGTGTTTATATTTTGGTGTATTTTTTAGACTAGTTTATCGTTTTTGCCCGGCTAAAAACAATATACCAGTTGATAATTTACACCATCATGTATTGTGTAATAAATCCATGTACTCTTCCCACAATAACAATTGGGCTACACCTGTTTCCACGTACATTGTTCCCGGTCACTCTCTAGTTTTTGTGCACTTTCAGTATCCAAACTCAACAAACCACTCTAGACCCGATCCAGAGTCGTCTACCAGGGTGTTAATTCACACCATCACCCTAAACATATATGTTAAAATTTCAGAGTTGGATGTTGGAAAAAATTGGAAGCAATTGGAAAGAGTTGGAAAAATTGGAAGGAATTGAAAAATTTTGAGAGAATTAAAGTTATTTTATATATTTAGACATAAAATGTTATTTTATATTACCTCCGTCCCAAAGTATTTGTCCACTTTCATTTTTACACACCATCCAATACACTTCTTTAATCCATTTTATCTTGTAATTTGTATATTAAAAAATTATAGAAATTATATATTAATAATCTATATGTTAAGACAAATCAAATAAGATCACACATAATTATATTTAGGTTTACACATTGAGAGAATATTATGAGTCAAAGTGCTTAGATGAACAGTTCCAAAAGTCAAAACTGGACGAATACTCCGGGACGGAGGCAGTACTACGTATTACTTATATACAAATAGATGTTTTTGAATTCTGGGAAGAAACTTGAAAAAATTAGAAAGAAATAAAAAGAATTTAAAGAAAATGGAAAGAGGTAAAGAAGTTAAAAAAGAATGAAGGATTCTACTCCCCTGAATCCCCTCCCTTGGGGTCCGACATAGAATAGCCGTTCCCGGACCAGACCCCTCGCCGACCGTGATAAAATCTTCCACAACTTTTCTCCTCCCTCACGCTTCCGATTCTCCGCCGCGCGATTCTCGCCTGAATCTACCTCAACTGCGGAAGGCAATCGGATTAGGGGTCGTATACCGGAGATCGATCGGCCCTCACAAGTAATTTATTTATCCGACAATACATCGATTGACTGTCAATGGGGAAGAAGCGAAAGTCCCTTGCGACGAGCTTAGACGAGGTGGACCGGACTATGTACTCGTCTTTCAGCAGCGCCGCGAACTCACTTTCGCAGCTGTATACTCAGGCGATGAACCAACAAAAGCTATCATTCCAAGCTGGCGAACGTCACGGACTGGTGAATCCTCGTTTTATGATTCTATTTATTAGTGATTGCTAGTTCTTTTTTTCTTTCTGGTTTCGTATGCATTTGTTATCATTCATATCAATAAACTTCTGGCATTTTGAAGGTGTTTAATTGTTCATCTTTTTGCACTTCTCCTGGTATCTAAAATTTGAAATTCAGTGCATGTGTTATTCCATTGATACAACAACAATCCCAATATAATCTTAACTGTGTTGAGGTTTGTGTCAAGATGTACACAATCTTATCCCGTAGAAACAGAGAGACTATTTTGGTTTGACCCTTGCATTGTTGTATTTACTACCCAAATCTTTGTTGAAAGTAAAAAAACAAGTAAACTTAATGTGTCAATTTGATTTAGTTCATTATTTATCTGAATTTAAAGCTTTTTCAAAATTTAGTCATTTTCTTCTACAATCCAATCATCATCATAATCACGGTCATCAACGTTATAATCTTTTCCACACCTCTTCTCTTTTTTGTTCGCTAATTTTGAATTAGTCATCACAAAACAACATCATTTATGGTCTTTTGCTTCAAGCCATTTATTCTTTTGGTATGGACCATCTCAAAAGCAATCAAGATATGCTCGCAATGAGATGAACTGCTTGTCAAACTCAACGCTCGAATGACAAACTTTTGTAGTTCTAGATGCTTATCACCATATGATTTGCACTCTACCATCGAGCCGGAGTTTTTGTTTTAATTGCTTGTATTGCCATTGCACTATCAAAAAAAATTTTGTCCCTTAAATCCTCAAGTTGAGCATCAATCTTGGCTTGGCTTGGCTTTTTCGCTAATATCTCCCACCAATTTTTGTAAACAATCATTTAGTCTCTTTTTAACTTCCAAATAACTTTAAAGTTGTAACTATAATGCATAATGGGGTTAACATAATATCTTGTATCATGCAAATACGTATTTCGTTATCTTAGCTTTCATCAATGATGTCCCACAAAGGAAGGTAGCTATGAAATAAAAAAAACTCCATCTGTCCCAAATTAATCTTCACATTTTCTTTTTTTGATTGTCCCAAAATAAACTTCCCATTCCTTAAAAGGAAAGGAATAAGTGTTCCATATTGATTTTCTCTCCTCTCCACAAATCTCAATCAAACAATTTCACTTTTCTTAAACTATGGGAAAAAGCAAACAGGAAGATTAATTTGGGATGGAGGGAGTATTTTATATCAATAAGAAATAGTATATTAAATTATTAAGGGCTTGTTCTTTTCGGTTGAAAAGTTAATTTTCAATTTTTTTCCAACTCCTTCAAGTTTCTTCCAACAAGGACTTACCACCTCAAACCTGGACAAGGATGAATTCTTTTTTTATCCAAAATTAGATGAATATACAATAACATCATATATCTATATTTATTACATACCACCTCAAGCACGGACAAGGATGAATTATTTTTATCCAAAATTAGAGTTTTCTTACATATTTATTTGTGCGATTATTTAATTGAGTGATTTTTTAACACTTTTTTCCTAACATTTTCCAACTCCTATTTTTCCATCTTCTAGTTTTTCCAACATCCAACTTTAGTGTCTTTGTACAAAAAATATATAGAAATTCAACAAATAGTGATGATGATGATGATGAAAATACTAATACTAGTAATAATAATAATATTGGTACACAACAGTTCTTTTGACCTTGGTTTGCAAGGTCATATTATGGCCTACGGTGCTTTGTTAGTAAAATTGATAATTCCTACCCCCTAAACCCCCTGCACCCCCACCCTAGATTTCTCCGATTCGGCAGTGCCAAATCAGTGATCTAGGGTGGGGGTTAGGGGTGCTGGGGCATGGTGCGGGGGACAAGGGGGATTTAGAGGGGGGGTAGGAACCCTCAATTTTACCAATAGAGCACCACCCCAAAATCCCAAGGTCAAAATTAGCTCGGGTCAAAAGATCCTTGCCGGTATTAATATTACATTTTTCTAACACCTTTGAAAGCCTTTTGAATATTCTTTTCATCACGGTCTATTTTGCATAGATGAACCCCATTGACGGATTTTCATTGGATCTGACCAAGCACAACACTTTGATTAATGCAAATATTTCATTTTTCTAACACCTTTGAAAGCCTTTTGAATATTCTTTTCATCACGGTCTATTTTTCATAGATGAACCCCATTGACGGATTTTCATTGGAATTGACCAAGCACAACACTTTCATTAATGCATGAGCACCTCTAAGACAATATTTTTCTTTATCCATAATCAAATCCTCAACAGACTTTCCATCTCTAGTATTTGCAAATTGAGTAGGTTTCCACTGATCAGATGTGACTACTCTTATTATGGAACCATAGGAGACATAAAGCTGCATGTTGATTGGAAGATTTGTGATTCAATTTGATTGGAAGACATGCGACTCTTTCTCTTCTTTTTGTTATTTTTTCATAAGTTGAATCGTCAATGGGGCACTGTTTGCGTACACACACCCTCCTCAGACCCTACTTTCGTGGCATCATACTGAGTTGTTGCTGTTGTAAATTGAATCCTCAATGGAAAGTCTCACAATCTGTCAGATAGAATTGCTAGTGATCCCACGATCCTAGCTGAGCTGAGGAACTTCCAATTCGGGGACTGTTCCATTGTAGAATTGTGTTGCCTTACAATCTGGATCACGATTTTAACATTGGTTTTACCTCCTTAGCCTTTGTAAGCGGTGTGGGCTAACGAAACGTGGGGATCTTATTGGAGTTGGGATCCAAAAGAAACTTGGTCTTTTATTACTTGGCTCATATTCACAATTTATTTACATATTCGACGAAATGCAAATTTTGAAAGGACTAAGTCCGCAAGTGTAGCATCTATAGGTTTGTGGCCTTTCAGAAACATTCTACCGGGTTTATTGTTTTTGTGGTATAATGACGTGATAAAGTCCTAAAAATATAAATGTAGATTTTCCTGTGGTTTGTACCCCATATGTTTTAGTTTTAACGTGTCTAGTTTTTTGTGCTGTTTCCAAGCTTTACTGTTTTGGGGATAAAAATATAAATCTAACAAAGTGAGTTTGAGGGGGCTAACTTGAATGATGGCCTCACCATGTTGATGTTTAATCTAGTGTTACATTTATTTTCTGCTAAGCTGTACACTATGTTTGGTTCAAAGAATTTGAGAGGGAAAAGAAAAGACAATGAGATACAATTTATCATGTTTGATTAGAGAGGAAAAAGAGAAGAAAAGTGGAAAGAAAAGAAAACGAGAAGACAAAATATGCTAAGAAGAAGGAAAACTGAATTCCTTCCATTTTGGTGAGGAAAAGGAGAGATCATTTTCTTTTTCTTTCCCTTCCAAATTTCCTTGAGCCAAACATAGTGTTAGTTTCACCTTTATCTTCGCAGATGGTCAACAAGTTCCTGGTCTTTCTTACATAGCACACATTTAGATCAATGTAAACTTAATCCTCTCTTTAGTCATCAACATGATCCTAAAGCTGTAACTAGGATATGAAAGCATGCTTGGGTGTGTTAAGGTGAAGCCAGATCACCGTGGGTCAATTTTGATCTTGACCTTTAAACATAAAAGCACACACATGTGATGAGTTGTTTTTAGTACCGACAGGTCATCTGCTAAGCATTGCAGTAGCCTTAACTCTTGAACCATCTATTTGGAGGAAATCATCATGCCAGTGAAGCATTTTTTGTAGTACAGGAGGAGTCCTATTTGCATTGCCTTTCAATTAGTAACCACAAATCTATCTGACCCAAAGTCATTTTTTGTAGAAATATTCTAAAGCATCTTCTTCAACAGAACATTATTCTAGGTCAGTAAGTCCTCCAATGAGCTCATCCCCAGTCCACCTGTCTTTGTAGCACAAATATCTTTCCATGCCAATTTAACTGCCTTTGAACCCATAAGAATACTCTTATCAGCCTTTTATTCATGCAATAACTGTTGTAGGGAAGGAGAAGATAGATAGACAGCCAATAACATTTATACAACAATGTTGTGGTAAGTATCATTCGCCCTGTATAAGATGAGTGATAAGTTTGCATTGTTCCATTCACTAATGAGTAATGAAGCTAGAGAGATCTTATGGATTGGGTGCCCATTGTAAAAATCCCATAGTTAAAGACAGGTGACACGAAGAAACACAGAGGAAGGCCAAGAGCCAGAGACACACGACACATTTGAGGTGTGTGCTTCACAGACACAAGGCACAAAGGAGGGACAAAAAGTAATACATTCCATATAAATAATGCAAACTTTTCAAAAACAAACATAATACAACCCACATTAAAGATAAATCCTGAAGTGCTAAAGATGATATGAAATTTTCATAATTTAAAGTTACATCCAACTCCCAAATTTCATAATAAATCAAACAAGTTTTACCAAACTCCAAAGTATCAAGTCAAACTTATAAACATATTCCATATAGCAATCTATAATGAATCACACATCAAAACCAAATCATCATCATCCCCTTCATGGCTTCATCACAATGACAATCTCCCCTTCTTCATTGGCGCCTTTCACAACTATGGAATAATATTCAACTTTTAAGCATAGAGGGGGATTCCAAGATATTTGGGATGCATAGATCCTTCCCACAATAGTCTTATTTTCACCACAAACAGTCCTCTATCCCTGGTGTATAAAATGCTGATTTGGATTGGTTTGTCAGCAGCCCTAAAGCTGGCTTTTCCAGATCTGAGGCTATTCTGTGTAATAGATTCCACATTCTCTCTAACGAGGAACACAGAATCGTCTACAAGACTAGAACAAGGTTATTAAGTCGTTGCTTAGTCAACAATTAGTCGCCGACTAATCGTCCAGTCAGTGAAAGGCTTGCGACCTGCCTCTTCAGACGAGGTGCCGTCCGGTTATTGACTATGTGCAGACTAGTTGGATTACATGGATAGGTGTTGACTAGTTGAAAGATTTGCATGTTCTCAAGTTTATCCATATAACCACAATGCCACATAAACATGCATATAGATTCATCTCCATTCTCCAAGTATTCCATTGGGAACCTGTTTGGTCTCAGATTCAAGCTTTACGATAGGGCTATAAAGAGCTTATCTAGTCTGGCAATCTACTATAGCAGTGATCCTGTAATAGGCAGGAGTTTATTGAACTCAGTCATTAGATTTTCGAAAAATTATTACATACACGTCAATTTCTTCGTATTTAATATCACTAATGACAGTTTAGAAGCAAGAGATAAGAACTTTCATCTGTATGTAATGATTGAGCTTGCTATCACTCCAAATAACAGGTCTTGAAGGGTTACATAGCAGGCAACCATTTTGATTCCTAGATTACAAGTTTTGTCTTCACCACATACCTTTGATTCCTCAAGTTGAATTCTCCCTGTCTACAACCTGTTTGAATTGCATATAATTGTTATATTATGACTTTAGTATTGAGTTTTTTATTTTCCTATCTGCATTTGATGTTTCTCACTGTTTTTTACTATTCTGTAGCTAACTTTACAAAGATTATCTTTTTTGTTAGCCAAGTGCTTTACTTAAACAAATTTAACTTACCTTGAAAATGGATTATTTGAAGCCCGTTGTCAGTAACCATAACTGTAATCCTTCACAAATGTGACATAAAATATCCAGCTACAGAAAACTGTAGGTTTCAATCAGAGGCGTTATTTGTATTCTCAAGTATTGTCAATATGCAACTATTTTAATTGAATATGACAATTGGCAGTGGAGCTAAAAGAGTCATTATTGACATTGTTTTAGCTTCAGTTATATGGATTAAATCAAAATGACACATTAAACTTCCCTTGTTTTATGAAGTTTTGGGTATTAAATGCAGCAATGCGTCAAGGGTCTAGCGGGAAAAGTCTATGTTTTTTATGGGCATTAGTGCATCTCAACCTCCCAGAGCCCAACACTGGGATTATACTGGGCTGTTGTTGTCATGAATATGACACTTCTCCTTTTATTGTATACCTAAGTACACGACTAGCACCAAACAGTTTCTACCTGCTCAATCTTTGTTCTTTAAACTTTTTGGTAGGAAAAGTTATATCAGTGGATCTTGAGGCAACAAGAAGGAGGATCAAGAGTGGTGATGATTGACATAGTCAACTACATCCAGGTACCTTTCTAACATGTACAACTTTGCACTGTTAGTCAAATTATTGGTTTTAACATTCTTTTAAACCTCATTCATGCATATAACTCTGTGTGTGTGTGTGTGCTTATAATAATGGGGGTGTTGTCATTTGTCATGGCTTAATGTCATTCATTCATTAGTTTTACATATTGTTGAAGTGCTTGTGAACCTTTGTTTCTTATTGTGGATGGGTACACTTATTTTTATTTATATTATATGATGACAGTCTGAACTGGACTACCATGGAGAAGACCAGGCACCACCCTCTCTTCAAAACCAAAACACTAGCATTTATCCAACTTCTGCCATCCTGGGCTCAAATGGTGCACCGGCAGCAATGCAGAATATTGGATTGGACCATTACGATCACCACCCAAAGAACCTTGATTTCTCAAATGCTCTGTCAAGCCCCATACGCCGAACCCTTCAAAACTATCACCTTTCTCAGGGAGGCTACCTTACAAGCAGTGCTCAGCCTGCAAATGCCACAAGGCAACAACAACAAGCTACTAGGGAGTCTGGTAGCTCCAACTCGAATGATGCCTCCTCCATGGATATGCACGCTGATAGTCCCGGCCATGAATCCACTTACTGAGAACTGCTCGAGATTCGCGATGCATGTAAGGTAAGAAGTTTGTCCATTTTACTTCGCCTCACTTCAGTGTCTTCAAAACAAGATGTATTTAAACGTTTTTTTTTAAATTTATGTGTTCTTGAAATGGCAGCAAAAAATGAAATTGGCCAGTTCCAAAATTGAATGAATGAAGTGACTCTCTTAAGTGTTGAACAATGTTACCAGTTAATTTATTTTGTTCCTTTTTAAGTGCATGTAAAGTGCATTGTAAGTGATGGGTGGCAGTCCCTTCATAACACAATTGGACATAGAATTAGCAAAATAAAGGGGTCAATGCAAAAAGATGAATAAATTAAATGAGCACTAGTCTAACTACATTACATTGTTGCATGCATGCATGCATGCATGCATATCTAGCTAGCTAACCATTACTCAAATAATAAAAATGCCAAAATGTACTCAAATAAATTAAAGTAGTAGATCTGAGCTAGAGGATGGGAATGGGAAAGATGGGATTATGGGAAAATAATAATAATAATTAATATTACAAATTAATTGGAAGGGACATGGTAGTATTTGCCTCTGCACATGCATCTGTAAACAACAGGGCAAGACTCTGCAACAGAGCATTTGAAGCTGACCATAACCCTCTTGCATGGGAAGCATGCTCCACATGCATGAGAACAATCTGGAAGGCTTGACCCTGTCCCTCTTATTGCCATTGCTGTTGGGTACGCCACTTTCCCTCTCCTTCCATTTCTCTCCTCCTCCTGCATCCATCAATCCATCCATCCATATGCATATATTTACATACTCTCATACATCATTATATTTTTCAATTATTTAATCTATTATTACTCCATATATTAATTAATAAGTTACTAGATTTTAACTAGCTTCGTGCACGCACACACACACACACATAACTGTCAAAGGGAGTATTATACAATTTATACTCCCTCCGTCCCACAAAACCTTTCTGGTTTTAATTTTTAAAGGAATTAAAGGGAGTGTATCTTTGTGTTGAGTTTCCAAAAATACCCTTGGATGTGATGGATAGATTAATAGTGGAAAAGGGTGATGTGATAAGATGATATGTAGGTTAAGAATGAGTAGGGGTAAACATGAATTTTTAATAGAAACGAGAAAGATTTTTTGTGATATATGGATGAAAAAAGAAAGAAGGAAGGTTTCGTGGGACGGAGGAAGTATCACTCTTCGCATTAATTAGTGAAGGGTGAGTTTTTTTTTTTTTAAAAATGAATAACTAAATTCAAACGAAGAATAAAAAATTTGGATTTATGAGGAAATATAGGAAGCAGGGCATAGTAATGAAGAACCTATTAACTGAATTAAAACGGGGCAAGAGCATCTTCAATCATCTTATTTTGACTTGCTAAAAGCCATAATATAGCAAGTCAACTTATTTTTTTCTTCTCCAATGGGTGTGTTTAATTTTAGCAAGCTTGCCAAAAAATGACTTTGGCTTGCTAAATACGGAGTATAACAAACTCTTCAAATTATAGGAAGCCAAGAGTTGTAAAATGAATTAGCAAGCCATGGTTGGAGAATGCAACAAAATATCACTTGCTATGTCATTATTCACTTGTTAAAATATAAAAAATAACAAGTCAATACACTAAACAAGGTTGGAGATGCTCTAACGAGCAACAAATCTAGTAAGGAAAATGTTAAAAAATTATGGTTGTAATTTTGTAAATAGAAAACGTAAAATGTAAATTTAATTTAGAGTAAATTCTATAAAAGGTCCCCAGTTATAGGTCGTTTTACATATTTAGTCCCTACATATCAAATATTACTAATTTAGTCCCCAATTATTATATTTATTTCCACGAATGGTCCTTTGTTAATATTTTCGTAAAAAATGTGGGTAAAATTATAAATTCACACTCCTTTCTCTCCTTAATTAAGCTTCCCTCCTCCCTTGCACACCTTTCTCAAACCCGTCGCTGAGTTTCTAGCTTTGAACCCTAAACTAAAATCATCACTCTTCTCTCAATTGTTTGTCTAACTGGAGGAACGATCATTTAAGTTTTGGGTTTAAGAGATTCAAACTCAGTGACGAGTTTGGAAAAGAGTATAAGAAAATGGAGGAAGCTTAATTGAAGAGAGAAGTATGAATATACAATTTTGTCCACGTTCTTAACGGAAATGTTAACAAAGGACTATTCGTGGAAATAAATATAATAATTAGAGACTAAATTAGTAATATTTGATATGTAGGGACTAAATATGTAAAACGACCTATAACTGGGGACCTTTTATATAATTTACTCTTTAATTTATGTACATGAAAATGTATGAATAATGCATGCATGGCTTGGCTGGTTAGGGGGCGATCGACAAACCTGTTGATTCTTACTGCTGTGGTGAAGTCCATTCCCTTCCTCATCATATGTAGTAACTGAAATATACATATGTAGATGTAACTATTAATAAAATTAATTGGCTAGCTAGCTAGTTTGAATTATACTACTGTACGAAAAAATATTTAATTAAAATTAAAACATACTACATGTAATAAAATATAACCTTCAATATGTTATTTTTATTTATACCAAAGTAAGACTTATAATGTCAAATATTGCTAATACATAATACTAATACATATTGTAAAATGCCCATATCCAATGCTAAATTATGACATCTCGTAGTATCAATACTTCTATTTATGGGATAAAAAATAAAATATCTTATTTTGGTATAAGTTTCATATTTTAGTCTTATCTGTATCTCTAGATTTTTTAATGTACTCCATCCGTTCTAATTTAAATTGTCTGTTTTGGTTTACGATATTTGACTGAAATTATTTTCAAATCATTTTATATGAAAAATTGTGTAGATTTAAAAAATAAAAATTACACTTTTTAAAGTTATATGAAAAGATCTATAAAATTAGTGGTGACATGACTATATTATTTAATCAAACGACTAACGAAAATAAGGAAAGAAAGTGAATAAAGTTTGATCCATGAATAGTAAACACACAATTTAATTTGGGACGGAGGAAGTACTAATTTTATCATATTACATACAATATTCTTAATAAATATTTACTTCGTACGCAGTACTTTCTATGTTGAGAATATTTGTCTAGTTTGACTTGTTCAAATCAAATTAGAAGAACCTTAATCACGAATTACATTACATTTGCATTGCATTGTATTTAAATGATTATCAATGTTCGTTCAATTTGATTAAAAAATTAAACTAGACCACTCTAGATATCGTAATTATGTTTTTTTACATACAGTAATTTTCACATCTTTTTAAATAAGATTGGAAATAATGCGGGTGAGATTTATTCAAGTCGAAACCATGGGAAAATACAAAGAATAGGTTAAATTAGAGACGGATAGGAAGGAGTAATTTTTTATAAAACTTACAATGTGAAGGCCTCACGCATTGGGTTGTGGTACCAAGCAGCGAAAAAACAAGTATTGTGACAACCGAAACACGCCACAAGCCAATTCTCGTCGTCGTCGGAGGCATATTTACGAATACTACTATTGCTTTCTTCATCTTTTTTATTGTCATGTTTTATGCAAAAGACAAAAAAAGGGGAAGACAAGTTTGTAACACTATATATGAAGATTTTGTGAGTTGTGATGGTCAAATGAACTTTAAATTTAAGCTAAAACTTGAATGGCTGTTTTTTAAAAAGGTTTTATGAAATAATGAAGTCATAGGAAATGTGGACTTGTGATTTATATTGGAGAGTGAGAGAGAGAGAGAGAGAGAGATAGAGGAGAGGATTGGGATATTAATTAATTAATGAGACTTGTACCTATATGTGCAGGCAGTCACATGATATATGAGACTTTGTTTTCAAAGCTGATATATATTCACAAGTTTTCTGAGTTGCCCAAAGTTATTAATTGTGAAACGAGAATGTTGGGTATGTATGTATGCACGAGAGAACATATTGCCAATTTATGCCTATTACTCCTTCCATCCCACGAAATCTTTCTGATTTTGATTTTTAAAATATTTAAGGAGAATGTATTTCGATTTTGATTTTCTAAAAATACCCTTTGATCTGATGGATAAAAATAGGATGTGATATGTAAATTTATATTAAAAAAAAGTATAATGAGATGGGTATATTAAGAATTACTAGTAAAAGTAAAAATGACATTTTTAATATAAATGAAAATTTTCTTTTGGGACTGATCGAAAAAGAAAAGAGAAATACTTTGTTGGGAGTATTAATTTGACCATATAATTAATGCCATAATGCGTTAGGGCCTTATATACGCTCCACACATGACACATGTATCTCCTATATTTGCACCTCCCAGTCCTTAGTTCTTACGTCGCACAAAATATTTTCTATTTGAAAAAAAAAACCAAGCTCTAAAAATGTACCCGGAGTATAATTTTAGCATTATTTTCCACTATCTAATTTTTTTATCTTACACATCATATCATACGATGAGCCTATTTTAAAAAAAGGACAAAATTAGAAAATAATATCAAAATTATACATTTTTTAAACTTGTCTTTTTTCAAACAAAAAATATTTTGTGAGACTGAGGGTGTATAAATTAATTTTTCCTTATTTTTTGAACACATACACTAATTTTTTTGAACGGAAATTAATAATAAGTCAAGTTTAATTCTTTGAGGTTTTATATATTTTCTTTTAAAAATTTAGCTAATTTGTTTTTTGAACGGAAATTATTCGTCTAACTTGTCTTTTACGAGTCAAACTGGATGAACTTTGATCATTAATAACTTTTAATTATATTGCATATAATACAAAAAATTAAAATTTTAAAAATTTTGAATAAGATAAATCTAATGAAATAAATTTTATACTCTCTCTGTCCACCATAGATCTTCTCAGACACTATTCACAGGGTCAAACTTAATTCAATTTGTTTATTTATTTTTACTGCTCATTTCATAAAATAATATAATGTTGTCACCTCTAGTTTTATAGAATTTTTCATGTAGTTTATTACTACATAGACTTTATATTAAAATTTTATCCATATATTCAAATAAATTGAATTGAAAATAAAGTCGGTCAAGTCTCGTAACGCACAATGGGAAGATCTTAGGTGGACGGAAGGAGTACTAAAATACATTAACTCATGGGGATCGGAAAGAGTTATTGGATTGAGTCATAAGACAATTGGGTTAAAACACATTAAAAAATTAATTCAATCAATTACTTAGTTCAACTCAATGACTTGTATATCAATTAGTTTTCTTTTCAATTTCCGATGTGGGATACTTTAACATTATCCCAGCTCAGAAAGATGAATTCCCATGCTCCGACTAGAAGGGGCATTGCAAGGCAGAGCTGGCAAATCGGTCGGTCAGGTCGGGTTCGGATTCGGTCACTTTAAGTTTGGGTTATTTCGGGTTTGGGTTGAAAAGTGTATGTTCATGACGCAGTGTTATCGGGTTCGGGTTGAAAAGTTTTAAACTCTGAATTAATTTTTGGATATATAAATCAATATAAGGAATTTATATATGCTTAAGTTTTAGAAAAAAAGTAAGATAATTATACAATATCATTAAAAAAAATTCTAAAAATATAAATTTATAGACTAAAAACGAGTAGTAAAGTGTATAATTTTGAAACATTCTTACTTTAGCGGGTCGGTCAGGTCGGGTTCGGGTTCGGTCGGGTTTGACCCATTTTTAGCGGGTCATTTCGGGTTCGGTCATCAAAACCTTTGTTCAAAATTCAGTGTTTTCAGGTCGGGTTTCGGGTCAGAAACAAGTCGGGTCACTTTTTGCCAGGTCTAAAGGCAGGTGTTCAAGGGAAAGAAAGTGAAGAATCAAGAAAGGAAGAGTCTCTCTAAGAGCACTAGAAATGGTCGTGTCAGCTTTAAGTTGCCTCACAGTTTCACTAGAAATGGGTTTGAAGCTCGGGGGCTTCAAACAAGGGATTCAATCCTTTATTTTTTAAATTTTTTAATCCATATTTTGTAAAATTAAATTAAGAAAACTTAATTAATTAATTAAATTTAAACGATAAAATATTGAGGTATGCGTTTCGAACAACGACACATTATTCCCATACGTCAGGTAGAGCCACAACGCGTACTCATTTGGCTCGAGACCTGACGGGGAAAAGGAGGAACCAGAGCAATTCATGATAAAAAGAGGAGAAAAAATTGAATAATTCTTTTTTTAGAAAGAGGAGAGAAAGATTTGTGTCTTTGGTGTATGTTTAATTTTTAATAATAGAATAAATAATTTAGGGAGGAAATGATTTGTTTTTTAAAAATATTAACGACATTATAGTCGTTGGGTATGGTGTGAAGGAACACACCAATCAAACCATCCCACTCAGTGCCTCCTCAGCTTTCATCACAGCCAATCACACCACCATCACACCGTAGGGGTGTGGATCTCGCCCAATTTTTTTAAACAATTAACTTAAAATAAATAACATCAAATTCACTGATTAATGAGAGGTTACGACCTCAAGCATCAGTGTGGGGTGCCAATGATCACCACTCGTATATTGACCACGTCATGCCTTGGGACAATTGCACCATGCCTAGTGCATACAATCAATACTACCTAACATGCTGGGAAAATCATGTCGGGCTTCATGGGCGGCGTATAAGGCTTGCAGTTTCCTGTATAATCTGGATAACCCATTTGCAATACTTGTACAGGCATTCCCACACTATTTGATCAGACATATGCAGATACTCATTGGGTGAATCCATAGTGTTGTCGTATGCCAATCGTTGCAATGTTGCGATGCACTTTTGCAACGTTGAGAAGCCAACTTTTTGTCGGGCATCATGTCGCAACATAAAAAAGGAGTTGCATCCGCCAAATTCTCACAATGCTAAGGAAAAGACGACAACTCATGCGAAATCTCCGCCTGAATTGTTTGTCGGTGTAGGTTGCATATTCGTAAAAATAATCCTTAACTAATCGATCGTGCCCACAAACGTATTAGTTTCATAATATTTAATATAAATTATTTGTAAAGTAATATTTCAATTAAATATGAAAAATATAGAAGCATACCGATTCTATCTCTATTTAGAGCTTTTCTTCTACTACGTGGTTTGTCGTTTTCTTGTTGTTGCGTAAGAATCTGAACTGCCCGGGCCATGGCATTCATGAAAAGAGCTTCTTCTTGATCAAAATTGGAGGACGTCCAATTTTGAAAAAAAGTATGAAAATTTGGAAAAGTAGAGAGTAGTAGAAAAGAAGTAGATGAAAATTCGAAGTGAAGATGATGATTTAATAAATGAGAGAGAGAATGGAAGAAACAAAAAAATTAAACTAGCCGTTGAACGGCTAGAAATGGGGAGAGGGAGAGCGGTGGTGACTGTGATGGTCATCACCCCCATCAAGGTCACCCTGTAGGGGGC